GAGGCGCGCCGCAAAGGTGCAGGATGTCGAAGCTTTGTGAGTCTGAATTTGATCGTTTTTTTCACACTCGCACATAGATGAATTACACACGAATAAGAGCATGTCACACCAGCAGGACAGGACAGTCTAACATATGGCAAGTTCTGCACTAAATTATGCGGCCAGATTAGATAAGGATTTCGATAAGGATAATGATTGCGCTAATGATTGCGATAAGGATAATGATAAGGATAAGGATAAGGATTGCGATAATGATAAGGATATGGATAAGCATAAAGATAAGGCTGGCGATAAGGATAAGGATAAGCATAAGGATAAGGTTAAGCATAAAGATAAGAATTGCGATAAGGATAAGGATAAGGATAAGCATAAGGATAAGAATTGCGATAAGGATGAGGATAAGAATAAGATAAGGATAATGATAAGGATGGCGATAATGATAAGGATGAGGATAGGCATAAGGATGAGGATAGGCATAAGGATAAGNGAGTAAGGCTGCCTCCCATCACTGCATCTGCTACAGTTCATATTCAAACCGTATTCAACCTTGCCTCACAGTGCAGCACAGTGCGGGAGAAAGTCTGCCTCTGCTGGTCTCACCAAAGCCACGAACGCCAGCAACAAGGGCCAGGCATTCGCCAGGCTCACGACTTCAACCCTTGTGGAGCAGTGCAGGCTGGGTGCGGAGCAGAAAGGACCTGACGTGATGATGTTCCACTCTCTCGTCGTGCAAGCAGTGCCGAGTGAAGAATACGCACGCGGATTTCGAATGCATGCGTCAGTGCGTCACTCTCGCACTCTTTATGCGGGTCTGAATATGTACCTCGAAGATGTATGTGGCACGGTTACCAGAAATGGGGATATTTTATCGAAAATGTTATCTGTAAAAATGGCTTTTAATTATGCCAACAATATTGTTAGAAAATGCTATATGCTATATGCTAACAACGTTTGATTCAACATGAATTTTATTTTGTTACTTTCAATTCACACTTACATTTCTATTACGATGGATTATTAAGGAAGAATGTTTTCATGTTGTTGATTGCAACACAGCT